TGGTAACAACCACCCCATCCTGGAGCCACAGCTCCAGGAAAACCCCTCGGGGTTCCCTGCCTGCAAACGGCTGAACCCCCCAGGTACCACCAGCTCCAGGACCTCTCGGTGCAGAAGGCAGCAGAGAGTTTGGAAATCTCATTTAAAAGCCCTAAAGTACACTCATTATTTCCTCAGGCTCCTTTGGCTGCAGGCACAACCAGGGCAGGCAGTCGTGGGATCACAAATCTCCACCAAACTTTGTCAGGTCGTGGCCAGCACCAAGCAGGAGCTGCTGAGCCACAGCTCCAGCTCATTAAAACTGCAGGAGGGGAGCGTTCAGCAAGTCTGAGGACAATTATCCAAGGAAGAATTTCACCAGGACACTGTGACTTAACCCAGAGCTTTGTGCACCAAGTGCTGAAGGAGTTTAATTGCCACCACCAATGGCAACGAACTCTGAGTCATCTCCAGCTCCCAGGAGCTGCTTTTCCACTCCTGATTTACTCCCAAGGCCACCACTCCAGCACCAGGACCATGGTGGGAAGGGGAAATCTCCTCTACATTTCAGAACACCAGGCTGGATCCATGGTTTCCATCTGGGCCCATCCCTAACAGCTCCAGCTGCCAGGGGAACTGGAGGGAGAGGCAGCAGGAGGGGCTGGAATTTGGGAGGAGTCCTCAGGAACTGGAGGTTTCTTCCTGACATAAAATAATGTAGTCTTTAAATGTGCATTTTCTGATTCTTTCAAGCATTTAACTTCTAAATTTGACTTGGGCTTTATTTAATCCTTTAAACACCAAAAAAAAACCCCCGAGTTAAAATGTCACAACAGGGAAAAAAAAAAAAGGAACAAAAAAGAGTAACTGCTTGAGTTATGCTCTTAGACATTTGTCAGGATAATTTTATTCCTTCCTAAACACAAACCCTTTCCAAATGGTGAGCAAGGTTTCAGGTTGAAAGCTGCAAGGTCAGGGTTTGTGTTATCCAAAGCAGAGCGAGCTCCATTTGGAGTGGCCATTCCCAACTCTTATTCCCCTATCAAATCCTGTCAAATTAATTCATCAGCAAGGACAGATTTTTTTTTTTAATTTTTTTTTTCCCTGGCTACTGAGCGTTAATTAGCACAAGGGTTGCCATGGGAACGCAGCAACACTCGTTAGCACCACAGAATTCACCATGTTGGAAATGAACGTGGGCAAGAGGCAACAACAGGAGCCAGAGCTGGGGATGTGGCTGCAGCCACCCTGCTCCTCTGATGGAGGCTCTGATGCCTCTCTGCTCAGTGGAAGTTGGAAAAACTTCTAAAATCCTAAATACTGCAAGGATCTGTGGTGATGGGACAAGGGGGAATGGCTTTGAGCTGAAGGAGAGTGGATTTCAAGGGGATATTGAGAAGGAATTGTTCCCTGGCAGGGTGGGCAGGGCTGGCACAGGTGCCCAGAGCAGCTGTGGCTGCCCCTGGATCCCTGGAAGTGCCCAAGGCCAGCTTGGAGCAGCCTGGGACAGTGGGAGGTGTCCCAAGGGTGGCACTGGAAGGGCTTTAAGGTCCTTTTCAGTCCAAACCCTTCTGGGATTCTGTGACATCAGGGCCAGTTACTGTGAGGATGAGTCTGAGCACAGGCTCCATTTTCCTGATGTTTTAACAAATACAATTCGGGACTCTGGCAGGAATCAAAGTGAAGCACAACAGGTTAAGCTGAGAGAAAAAAAGCTCAGGCATGTGCCCAGCCCCAGGCATTCACTGCAAATAATTATCAATAATTATCAATAAACCTTGTCCAGCTTAAAGCCTGTGGCACAAAGTGCTGTCAGCAGCAGGGTGAGCCATGGCAGTGACCACACTGCCCTGGAGGGATCCCCACTCCCCAGCCTCTGTCCTTCTGGATTTACAGCCCTGGGACACCCCCACGGGAGGTTTCTCCATCATCACACTCCTGCCTGGTGCTCAGATCCTCCTCCTAAGAGCCTGGATTTTGCTGGGATCATCCCAGACCTGCTGGTTGTTCCCCTTGAAGCAGCTCTGTGCTCAGAGCACTCACAGAGCAGCTCCTGCTCCATCAGCCCAGGCTCTCTGTGCTCCCCTTCACACACATCCCCCATTCCCCATTCCCCCTTCCCTGTCCCAGCTCACACACCCTCCTGTGCAATGCTGCCCTTCAGGCTGAGTGCACCACTGTCTGCTACAGGCCATGCAGCTCTCCTGGAAATGCATTTTCTAATCCATCCTTGGACCATATTTGGCTTTTTCTTGGCCTCATCCCCTGATGGAGGCCAGGCTTTGTCCTGGGGGTGTCCCACTGCTGCCCTGTGCTGCAGGGACCTCAGACCTGCTGCTTATCTGGAACCCAGGGAATATTCCACATCCTCCTCTGCAGGAAAATCCAAGGCTTCACCCACCTCTCTAAGCTTTCACTATCTGAAGAGTCCACTCTTCATTATTTCTCTAAACTGCCCACTTTTCACTATATCACAAAATTAGACCCAAATCTCAGCAGTGTAATAAGGAAGGTATTTCAGAAGCAGAACAAGATTTGAGCTTCCTCCAGCCAACAAAACCTGAAATAAAGGAAGGATTTGCCTGCACTTTGCTGAGCCAGCTCCTGAGGAATGCGAGGCCAGGTGCTCACAGCAGGTCAAGGCTGATTCCCCTCTCCTCCCCTTGCTGGAAGAGAAAGAATTTTGGATTTTTCATCGTGTGAAATAGCAGAGAGCCCAGGCAGAGCCCACCCTGCTGAGGGCACTCACCTTCCCCCTGCACCTACAAATGCTTCACTGGGAAGGAGGAGCCAGATATGACATTTTTAACCATTTTTCCCTTCCTTTCTCTGCAGAAGGATGTACATGGCTCGTGTCAAATTCTAAAGAAGGAACAGGGAACCAGCCCTGAACACGTCCCTGCAGAAGGTGTGGTGGCTTCCCACAAAATCCTACCTCCAAACACCTCCTCCTACTCCAGGACTGCTTCCCACTCAGCAGATCCTCCTCTCTCACACCTCAGCAGCAGCCACTGCCACAGCTCAGCACATCTGTGCAATGAGAACCAACCCACACACCTCTGGATTTTACATCAAAGAAAGGGATGTTCAGGTTCACCAGAGCAAGTTATGTGGGCAAGCTCAGCTTCTCCAGGAGTATCCACATCAAGAAAATTTAATTTCACCAAGCCATTAAAGAAATCAAGCTGAAAAGATCCCCTCTGCCAAGTTTCACATCATTTTCTAGCAATCCACCCGCAGGAGTTTTTTCTCATCTTGAATAAATAGTCATTTTTGCATCTAAGGGAAGATGAAAACATTTTCTATACTTTCAAACCTTCTCTGGCATCTCCATCAAGCTCAAATCCCTCCTTAAAATACCCTCCAAACTCTGGGGAAAAGCATTTGTGCCTTGTGCTAAAAGCTCCAGAAACTTTCCTTTGCAGGCTGATGTTCCTGCAGTGACTTGCTTTCCTCTTACATAATTCAAGGACCCAAAAAAGACAAAAACAGTGAAGAACAGAAATGTTAAACCAAAGCTGGTCTCCAAAACCCAACTGAATGGGACACCTGAAACAAGAGAGACTCAGCTTTTGGAAAAACAACTTTTTGACATCTCCCACGCCCCCGTGCCTGCTGCTCGACCTCGGGTCAGAGGGACTCAGAGCTCTCATGTCACACAGTCCAAGTGCAGAGAGCCCTCCTCAAATCAAGGGCACTAATTATATTAATGAAGGCTTAAGGTCAGTACATCCCCATCAAGCCCAAATTGCTGTTTCCTGAATTAATGGAAAGTTCTCCGTCCGGTTTCAAGCAGTTGGGAATCCAGAAAGCGCCAGAGCAGCTGGGAAATCAATGTCAGCATGCTAAATCCAGTAGATTTAAAGTTTTGGGTTTTAGGAGAGTGAATGAGATCAGGATTGGGTCTTCTTGTGCCAGGGTAGGATTGGGTTACCTACTCCTGCAGGATTCCTGGTAAAGGGAAGAACAACAAGGGAGATCAAGAATTAAGGGCAAAGAAGAAAGTAGACAGGTCATCCAAATTTGTAACAAGATATAACTATACTTGGATAATTCTCAGGCATTTTGTGAGTATCCAAGCCAAAAAAAAATCCAGGAAAAAATAATAAACATGCACACAGCCCCAGGGGCCAGAGCCATGCACTACCAACCCTGTACATGCAGAGTGCAGGTACAGCCCCCACACAATAATGCCATTATCCAACTCCAGCTGCTCCAGGCCATAAATTCTTTACACAGAGTGAGGTTCATGGACTTTCTATGTAGCAGAGAGAACCCCAAAACTCCTGTAAATGCTCAGTGGGTGTGGGTGTGTGGTTCTGCCTCTCAGAGCCAACCCAGGGGTCAATCACACCCTGCTCTGACACTCCCCTGTCACCCCAGAGCCAGAGCTGTGTCTCACTCACTGAGCTCTCAGCCAGATGGAAGAGCTGTGACTGAGGCCAGGACGTGCCCAAAGGAAGGGCTGGGGACAGGCAGGCCGAGGTTAAAGCACAGACCACGATGTGAGGAGCTGGAGGGGCTGTCACTGCTGGCTCACCAGTTCACACCAAGTGACCTGACACAGCACAGCTGCTCGGGGTCCTCAGCACAGGATCTGCCTCCCAAGAGAAATCTCTTCCCTCCTGTAACCCCCTGAAGAGCTCAGGAGTGCTGCTGTGCCCAGGCTCCTGCAGCTCTGGGACACGGGGAAATGTGGGAAGTTCTGGGACTGCCGATCCCCACGAGTGATTCTCGCTCTGGTGTCTAACCTGGAAACACTGAATGCCACCAAAACTGAGCAGCTCAAGGAGACAAGGGACATGCTTGGGAAGGGAAAAGCAGCACAGCAGAACCAGCCACATGCCCAAAACCCTTCCTGCAGCTCCTCAGCTCTGCCTCAACCATTACTGCTGCTCTGGTGCCTGTCAGAGCTGCTGAACGTGTCTGTGAACCTCCACTGCAAACCTCCTGGGTGAGAGATGAAACCTCCCCTGATCCTTCCCTCCAGCAGCTAATGCCTTTCATGGGTCAGACTGGATGCTCTGCCAGTCACTGCCCCCTCCAAGCCCCCCATGGTGGGTGGGCACAGCTCCGTGTGTGCCACCAGCCCAGGCTCTGCCCTGATCTCCCCTCTCTGCTCTTCCTGCAGCTTCTCTCCACAGTTTTCATCTGAGCATTGCCCGGCACTGGGAGCTGCAGTGCTCCTGTGGTCAGAGCTCCCCTGGGCCAGGCACATTTCTCCTGATCCATGCAAATGGTGCCAGCATGCAGGAACTTGCTTCGGACAGAGCCGGGAGTTTGCAGTGCGAGGCTGCTCTGGAAATGTCACTGTGCAGGATCCGAAGGGGCTGCCTCCACCATCTCCTCATTGCCAAGGCCATCAAGGTGTGTGCAAAGCTTCCTCCACCTGGGTGAAAACACTCACAGAGTCATCCATCCATCCATCCATCCATCCATCCATCCATCCATCCATCCATCCATCCATCCATCCCTCAGATTTTCCAGGCTCACAGAGAACATCCCAGCCACAAGGCAGCAGAACCGTTCCTGTGTCTGGCCTCCCTCAGGGCTCCAAAACATCACTTATTTATACTTGCAACCCCAAAATTCACCAAATTTCTCCTAAAAGGTGCTGCAGGTGCACAGCTCAGCAGGTCACAGATGTCTGAGCTGCTACCAACCCTGCAGTTTCAGCTTCTCATCCCAAATTCCTTGCCTCAACCAGCACAGAAAGTCCTTGTCTCCAGCACCTTGAATTTTTAACAGAAATTATGTTCACCACAATACAACCTTCTCCCATACCCTCCTAAACTTGTTTTTTCCCCACTGCAAACCCAGGGGCTGGCAAGCAGAGTGAGCCTAAAAATTCTAAAGAAAAATACAGAAACTGAAGGAAACCTCAAGAAAAATGAAATTGTCACCTGGGTTCCCCCAGCTGGACAACAAGGAAAGCACCTGGTGTCCATGGGAAAAGCTGTCATGGCCTTTCAATTCCCTCCCTGCAGTGCCCCAGGCAGTACCAGGAGTTTTTAAATCACTGCTACCTCAACCATCCCCTTTTTATTTGTAGAAGGGAGATTTCTCTGTGTTATTTTAAAACTGGAGACCTTACAGATGCCAACCTTTGCAGACCAGCTGGCAGCTGGGATGGTGCCCGTGGGAAGGCACCAGAGCCTTGGGGATGCTCCTGGGGCACAGCTCTGCATGAAAAGGAGCTTTCCTTGCTTTCCTCCACTCCCCATCCTCAGTGCTGGAAAGAATTGTGGACTCACAGGGACCCAAGGGACATTGTGCAGAGAAAACCGTGGGCAGCTGATACATGGGGGTAATTCTGGAACTGAAAGCTGAAGGGACTTTCCTTTGTTCTGGGTTTTTTTTTTTGGTGTCCTGCATGAAATTCTCTTTCTTTCAGTGGTGCCTCTGGAAAATCAGCAACAGAGATTTGCTTTGTAAGCTCCTGTCTGCATTAATTTGCAAACACTGAGAGATTTTTTTCTGTCTGTGTGTGCCTTGGTTCTGAAGGACCATGAATGGGATGAAGGTGCCACAACAGCAATTCCTCACCCAGCTTCCATTCACTGCTGGGGAGTTTGGCACAGAATATACTGAGGGCACAGAGAAAGGGGTGCACACCCCTCCAAAACCTCTGTGCCACCTGGATCGACCCTCAGACACAGAAAGGATGTCAGCCACGAGCCTGGCCAGGGGAACAGAGCAGCCTCACAAATGATTAAACCCAGAGGAAACAAGTCAAATCCAGAGCAAACCCAGCTCAAAACCAGCTGGGAGAAGGAAGGACAAAGAGGTGTTGAGATGGATGGTAAACCAGTCAAAAATATTGGGGCTGTGGTGAGCACCAGGCTGAGAGGGAGGAACAGCAGCCTGGCCAGGGCTCCCTGCAATCTTAGATTGATCTTTCCCATTTTCCATCACCACAGCATCTCACAGAGTGCAGCTTTCCACACTGTGGAAGAGCAATTCACCTCAGAGCAGCTCACATGCTCAGTCCCCTCTCCCCTAAACCTGGCCAGCAAGTTTTCCTTGGCTGGTCAAGTTTTAATAAACCTCCTTTAATCCCTGCTTGCAAAGCAAAGCTCAGCTCCCTGGGCCAAGCTGGGATTGTCACACTGACTCCAGAGCACGTGGATTAATTCCCACAGCCCCTGCAGAGGAATTGAACAATAGAAAAGGCAAACACTGGGGTTTGTAGCAGCACCAGCACCCATCCCTTCCCTTCCTGGCAGATCCACTCCTCCAGGAAAGCATCTCTGCCCCAGCAGCCTTCAGCCCAAGCCACTCCTTTGTCTCCCAAACCTGGACCCCCAGGATCAAGGGTGTCAGGAGAGGATGGAATCTTAGCTGAGAGATAAAATGAGCAGTTTCTGCATTTCCATTTCATTTTCAGTGCATTTCCCACCCATCTCCTTCTGTGGGCATTCCTGGGAATAGCTTTGGGATAACCACAGCCAGACCTGGGAGAAATCTCTCTCCCTTCTGACATATTCATACTGACTTTCTGTGCTCTAAACACACACCAGGCCTGAGCAGTCACTACCAGAGGGTGAAGGCTGCTCACTCTCTGTCTTTGCAGCCTCAGGGATGGAGGGTTTGGAGGAAGAAAGGATTGGAGCAATGAATTCTCAGCTCAGACTCCTCATGAGGCAATACTGAAAACAGGGAGGTGCTATGGGATCCCTAGAACACCTGACATCTGCAGGGAATAACAACGAGTTATTCATCAATTAGAGGAAGGTTAAAGACCAGAAACTCCTGTCCTGCAACCTCTGAGAGCTCCTATGAGATTCCTGCAGGAAAAATGCAGCCACAAACTTATTCCACCTCAGAAAATACTGTGTGTGCAGGAAATACAGGAATATTTATTCTGCCTGCCCTTCCCAAGTGCCACAGGCAGGTGCACAGAAGGGATTCTGCTCACCCTGTAAACACACAGAGATTTGGGAGCAGAATTCCAGGGAAGACTGTAGGACATAGAGCATCCCACCTGCAGAGAGCACAGCACCAACATCCTCTGCCTGCTGCAGCAAACTGGGCAAAGCTCCTTCAGGAACAAAGAGAAAAACAAGATAAAAGACAAGGCTGGCATCCCAGAGGAGGAAACATCCCAGTGCCACAGAATTCTGATGTGCACCAGGCTCTCAGCTTAAACCAGTAAGGGTTTTGGATTCTCAGACACAGAGTAAAATTCCAGCTCCAGAAAAACATCCCTGCTGCTGGATTTTGGGACTTCTCTCTAAGTCTGGTACAAACTCTCTGCCACCCCCCAGACATCAGGAAACATCAGCTGTAAACAGCTGCCAGGTCTCCTCTTTATCCACAGAGGTTTATATCCCCTCAAACTCCCAAAATAACAGGATATTTTGTTATGTGGCAAAAATAACCTTGAAAATATGCAAAAAGTTATGATTTGTGACCTTCAAAATATTGCAGTTGTGACATTTCACTTTGTTATTCCAGCCATGGACAAATGGTTCTGCTAAAATATCTGTCACAAAGTAGTCCCCTAGGCCCAGGCCACAATAATCTTTTTTAGCAACTAAAAAGGTTCTGCTAAACCATTATGAACTTAACTCCAGCCAGGAAAGAAATGGAAGAGCTGGAGCACCAAGGCAGCAGCTATTCTTGTTAAATTGGTCTCAATTTTTCAAGGATCCTGTTGAACATTAGAGAGGTCACAGCCTGCACCACTGTGAAAACCTAAGAAGTCTCTAAAACCCACGGAGTTTAATAAGGAATGTCATATTCCCAAATTGCCTCAAATGTTTTACAGGCTATTATGACTTTCAGTTTTATAGGTCCAAAACACTAACCAAATAAAAAGTCTATTTCTCCCAGATTTTCAAGGTTCAATTTTTAAAAGGCCAGAGGCACAAACTGTTCCTGTGAGCCAGGGAAGCCTCAGCCATCAGCTCCTATCACAGACCCAGCCATCCTTCCCAGCTCCCAGCCTTTGTCCTCCCTGTGCACAAGAACCAACCTGGTGCCATTCACTTTTTCCAGCTTTTCTCATCCCAGAATCATGGAATGCCTCGGGTTGGAAGGGACTTAAATGCTCATCTTGCTCAGGGTGTGGGCAGGGACACTTTCCACTATCCCAGGGTGCTCCAACCCGGCCTTGGACACTTCCAGGGATGGGGCAGCTCCAAAAATCCAAAGGATTTTTTTTGCATTGTTTGAGATAAAACTTCTAAAAATATGCAATCACCTATCATGGGACCCTTCAGGCTGAACAGCATCAGATGATGAGCCTCAGGATCCCATGGAATTGTGGTGCCCACTTCCCCTAAATCTTCTCCCTGTGGGTCCCTATTTCCCATAACCATGGTCTGAATGGACTCAAGTGATTTATTTTGTTCTCCCTTCTCCTCCTGCCCACGCTGCTCTTCCCTGGCAGCCTGAAGCCCTGCCCAAGGCTGTGCCACACCAAGGTGCTGATGGACACCACAGGCAACCCCTGGCTTCGACAAATTATCTGCAAACAGGGACAGGAATTGTGGCACTGGTGGCGCCTGTCCAGCTGGACCGAAGCTGTGACATTCCTTGGGGACAAGCAGGGCCTTTCCAGGCACTACCAGTGCATTTATACTTTTCATCTACTCAGTGCTGGGGCTGCAAAGTTTCATCTTTCTTTCCGTGCTGCCCTTCCCTCCCAGATTAATTTCATTAACAGCTCTTTTTATGGGCACTATAAAGCACCAATCCACATCTGAGCACTGTTTAAGAAAGGATAAATTTCTACAGGGACCTTCTGAGATCAAGCACATTCCTGGATCACATCCTCTTTGTCCCCTTCAAAGGAAGTCTGACCTGTGACACACCCAAGTCAGGTATTGAAATAGTGCAGCTGCTTTCTCTAGGGTGCAGATATTGAACATTACCATTCCCAAAATGCAGGCAAGGACGTTCAGGACCTGTGGCCTTCAGCTCCTCTGGGTCAGCTCCAATCAGCTGCTGGAAAATCCATGTAAATGCTGTTTCTTTGGGATTTCTGCTTTACTTTCTCCTGTCAAATAAAACCCGATGTCTTATTTCCCCCTGACTGACAGCGCTGCGCTTCAGCAAATTAACAAACCAATGCACGACTGTGCCTTGATTACTCCCTCTCTTTTCTTATGAAAGAAAATGTCAAATCCTTTAATTTGACTCTTTCAGGAGCCTTTGAGCAGTTTAGGAGCAGCTTCTCACCTGGGAAAGAAGCAGCTCACAGCCCCAGATGCCACTGCTGATCCCAGCAGAGCTGCAATCCAAATCCTGCCAGGCTGACTCCCAGCAGCGAGCCCAAATCTCTGCTGCCTGCCACTGAGATTCTCATCAGATATGGAGACTTTAGGCTGGATTTTCATCTTGATGCTGAGCTGCAAACACCAGCTCTGGGTAAGCTGAGCTCTCCAGAGACCCATCCAGCTCAGGGGTCGCTGCTGCTGTGCCACCTCAGATTACTGTGTCACCGCAGGCCAGCCCTAAGCACCTGCCTCATGCTGCAGTCCCTAGACATTTTTTACTCTCTGTGATGTAGCCTGGTCCACCCTGTCCCAGTGCTGGTGTTCCCAGCAGGCTGCACACAGCTCCAACTCAACATATTCATGAACTTTTGATGGAGCACTCAGCTCCTGCCAAGTCCCAGGGGATGTTTTCCAGGGAGAATTGAGCCCCCGCTGCAGGCTGGGCCAGGGGGGCAGCCCAGCCAGGAAAGCAGAGCCAGCAGCTCTCACTGCCTCCATCCATCCCTCAGCACGGAGAAACATCCTCTAGGATCCTTGCACGGGGATGAAACGCTGCTCTCCTCACTTCCCAGCACTGTTTGCAGTGCTCCAACCACAGCCATGCTCGCTGCTAAATGCCGAGCGTCTCGCTCCTTCCTCCTCTCCCTCGGAATTTTTCCTCCCCTGTTCCAGCCAATCGTGCAGGGAAAAATTCCAGCCTGAGCTTCATTAGTATAAGATATAAAAATAGAAGTGCACTATCTTTTGTAGTTCTCTCCGTTGATTCAGCGGCAGCATGAAGGTAAAATAATTAAATGTTTGTCTGGTGATAAAAACAAGCCCAACAGGAGAGGCTGGGCTGGGCTTTTCTGGAAGCTGAGCGTGGAGATCTGGGGGCTCCTGTGCTCCACAGACTTTGCCCTCCCCACTCTCCATAGCTACCAAAGGGATGATGATGCCTCCCTCCCTCCTTCCCTCCTCCTCAGCTCCAAAATAAACACAGGATGGAGGCTTTGGGAGAAGCTGGCAAATGCCTCTGCTGCAAAGCACAGCCCTCCTGCAGGAACTTTTCCCAAATCCTGCCTGGCAATTCCCTCAGCACCTCCCGAAGCTCTCCTGGAGCCAGGAGAGGGCAGGAGTCTGCGTGGACCAAGGTCAACACGGGAGATGTTCACAAAGCATTAGTGAGTTGACTTGATCCTTCATCAGAATACTTTCTGCTTTTCCTTCCCAACACTTCACTGCCCACGACGTGGCAGGCTGAGCCGATGTGACAAACTGTCGAAACACATTTTTTTGAACAGGAAAAAAAAAAAAAGTTAAACCTAGACTTTAAAGGTAAAACTGGCCCCTTTCAGTCCCTCTATCATATGTGACATTCCTGCTGGATAAAAAAAAAAAAAAACGGGCTCTGAGAGCAACTTGCTGGGAAAAGGCTCCAATGGACTGGGAAGAGCTGCAGTCTGCAGGGAGCTCCTGGGCTTCACCTCGTCTTTTAAGCTCCTATTAGTTAATAAAAACAACCACAGAGGTGCAAAAGCACCTGAGCATTTGTCAATCCCCAGACACAAACCTATGATAAGATGCTGTTCATTGATTCCATAAAGTAACAAGCGAAAATTCCCTCAATCATTCTGCTGGCACCAGCAAAAATACCTGCTCCCAAAGGGAAAGGACCATCATTTCTCCCACTCCAAATTCCCCTTCTGTGCTTTATTCCTGCTGTGGTGCTGGTAATGACCTATTTAGCACCAGGCTGTGGGGGGTGGCAAATCCCACCCACCTGAGTTCCCTGCTGCAGCCTGAGATTGCTATTGATGAGCTCCGTGCTTTGATGGGAAGGAAATGAGTTGAGTTGAAGGGCTGCTGGCACTCTCTCTGGAGAAATGCCAGGGAATTTTTAGACAGTCTTCAACCCAACAATAAAATGCCATGGATGTGAGTCACAGTGGATGTGAGCTCCCATCTCTGTGGGAATCTGGGAGCAGATTCAGGATGTGTGACATCCCTGCCCCAAGGAGCCACCTGAGAGCCCAGGTGTTCAAATCCACTCAAGTTTGGGTCTCTGGAGCTGCACACAGATCACAAAGTCACCTTTCCACTGCCCTGGGATCCCCCAGCACCTGGGCAGGTCATTTCTGATCTGTGGGGCTGCAAATCAACGTCTTGCTCACACTGTGTGAGTTTGCAACATGTAACAGCCTAAAGAATTTTTATATTCTTAGCTTATAAATACACCAGGTGGTAAAAACCAGACTTTTCTTGGGGTGGATGGGCAGTGAGTGTGTGTAGAAAGCAGCTCAGAAATATCACAGCCTGGCCATATTCATTAATATAGACTGTAAGGAGACTAAACCTTTATGTTTGTCTCCACAAACTGGTCACATATTTACCTTTATTTCAAAAAGATTCTCCTGGAAGTGAAGTGGTTTAAATTATTGGTATCTTATGTCAGTGCATGACAGTGTGGGACAAAAAAATTAAAACCTGATAGCTGAAAAAATCTTGTGACATCCTAGCACATTGGGAAGCTCTGAAATCTTATCTAACCAAGAATCTGGTTCTTGGTTTTCAAGGTCTTGGGCTCATGGCCAAAATCCCAGAACCTCCCCTTTGTACTCCACTTTTAGGTCCATCAGGAGGAACAAGATCTCTGGAGTTCCAGCTCACAGAATTAAAATGGATGGAGACAGTGCAGGGAAAGAAAATGGGGGGAAAGGCTGTTCAGTATTTATGCACCAACATCAGGTGGGGAGAGCTTCTGAATAAACAGCACAGGATGCAACAGAATTATCTAAGAGTTAAAGCTGATTTTACGTTACAAGAACCCAGTGCTCTTGGTAATGAATACAGGAGCCTTTAAAAAAATCAGAATTGAAGCTGCTGGACACAGATAAGGCTCTGTGGCCTTGTCTCTGCAGCACACCAGCTCCCCCAGCACTGCCTGGCCTTCCTAAGGTCACCCACAAATCCAGAGCACTTCTGGCCACACCACACACACCAGGGAGGGCTCAGGGCAGGCTGCTGAACTGCCAAGATAAATCCTGCTCCTGCAGCCAACCCACCTCTACCAACCTTCCCAAAATCACTCATCAAAACATGCATTTGCAGGATCTCACTCACTTGTTTCTCCTTTTTAGGAGCAGTGCCAAAGCCAAGACTTATGTGCAGCTCCTGGCACCTCTAACCACAGTCTGCACCAAATGACCACCACAGCAAACCCTGAGCTTTCAATCCAGCAGAGCCCTGGTAGCCATGGGACACTGCAGCCAGGGATGGATGGATGGATGGATGATGGATGATGGATGATGGATGGATGATGGATGGATGGATGGATGATGGATGGATGGATGGATGGATGGATGGATGGATGGATCATTGAAGGATGATGGATCATGGATAGATGATGGATGGATGATGGATCATTGAAGGATGATGGATCATGGATAGATGATGGATGGCTCCACTGCCCAGCTTTCCAGCAAAGCCAAACTGGAAAATCCTCCCATCTCTAAAGTCTTGGATCCACT